GCGAGAACCCGGAGAGTCGGCCCAGGCGCCCGAGCACCCCGCCTCCTGGCCCTGCCACGCCTTCGGGGGTTCGGGGCTCCCCTCGGCCGAGGCGCTGTGACTCTCCGACATGCTTCCCGCCGGCAGCCCTTCCCCCATTCGGGGGCCGCCTCCGGTTCGGCTGGCGGTCGCCCTCCCTCGAAGCCTACGGCCCCGCCCTCCGCCGGCCAGCCGCCCCTCGGGTCTGGGGAAGCCGCGCCTTCGCGGGAGCCAGAGCGGCGGGCGGGACGGTGGCAGGGGGCGGTCGCGCTCCGGCGATGGCCACAGCGCGGAGGAAGGTGCTTCCGGGACAGAGGGCGGGCAAGATGGCGGCGCCCATGGAGCTGTTCTGCTGGTCTGGGGGCTGGGGGCTGCCGTCCGTGGACCTGGACAGCCTGACCGTGCTGGTGAGGAGGGACACCGGCGCCTTCTGTTGCGCTCTGGATGACTGGGGCGGGAGTCCAAACTAGCCGAGCGTCCGAATTTTGCCCAGGCGCCTCAGCACGGGATGCATTGGGGGAAACTGAGGCAGATAGAGAGCGGACATGGCCGATATGGTCTAAGCGCCCTGTGCCTTATCAGCGTAGGCTTCGTGCAGAGATGGAGAGAGGCCTGGTCGGGAGATCAGGAGATGGGTTCTCGTCTTTGCCGTTTGGTGGCTGTGCGACCTTGGGACGTTCCCTTCTCTGTGGGCGCTGTACTTCATCCGAGGTTTACTAGGCTGGAGGATCTCAGGGATGTCCTGCGGCTTGACATGCTGTCTTCTCAGCCCCCTTTTTCTCCTCCTCGCTAAACAGCATTTACTGAGCCTATTGTTTGTTAGACCAAAAGGCCCGCAGTCCTGTTCGGTAGAAAGAGCTTTGGACTGAAGACAGACAACTTTACTTCTTTCATGCACTCACTCATTCAGTAAGCATATGTTAACCCATTGCAGTCGAGTTGATTCTGACTCATAGCGATCCTCTAGGACAGAGTAGAACTGCCCCCATAGAGTTTCCAAGGAGCACCTGGTGGATTCGAACTGCCAACCTTTTGGTGAGCAGCTGTAACTCTTAACCGCTAAGCCACCAGGGTTTCCAAACATATGGTAGGCCTCCTCCTAATACTAAACATTGGTGTGTGGAGATGAATGAGACTTGGCCCCTACCCTCCAGTTGTTTACAGTCCCATAGGGAAAGGCAGGTACGTATGTAAATAAATGCAATAAATGTGCAGGTGCTAAGACATTAGTAGGAACAGGTCCTGGAAGAGGGATCCTGGTTAGGAAAAGCTGAGTATAGGTATTCACCAGCAGATGGGAGGAGAGGAGCTAGAAGCAAGGGTTTTCCTGGCTGACAGAGCAGTATTTGTAACCATGGACGTGTTCCATAATCTTTCTGGACCTTCTCTTGTCCATTTGTAAAATGATAATGATGATACCTGTCTCATTTGTGAGGCAAGTACTAAGCAGAGAGCATAGCACTTAAGGTATTCAATAAATGTTGTTTCTCTTCCTGATTCCCCTGTGGGGGCCGTGCCCTTGGCCTCTCTGCCTTCTGCTTCTGTCCGTGCAGACCTATGCCAGATTTACTGGTGCCCCACTCAAGGTGCACAAGATCAGCAACCCCTGGCGGAGCCCTTCAGGTACTCTGCATTCCTGGGGGGTGAGGAGGGGAGCAAACAAAGGGAGGAGCCAGAGACATGCAGGGATGTGATACAGACGTGTGTTAATAGGCAGCTAAGGGTCTGCTGGGCATACTTCTCTCTCAATGTCAGGGACTCTGCCTGCCCTTCGTACCAGTCATGGAGAGGTCATCTCGACGCCACACAAAATTATCACCCACCTTCAAAAAGAGGTAGGTGGCTGGGGTAGGGGGGCTGCCAGTGAGGGAAGTTCAGTCAATTCAGTACAACACATATTTATTGAGTTCCAGATATATGCTAAGCTAGACGCAGGTGATACAGAGCTTCAAGGAGCACACAGTCTGATGGCGGAGACACACAACATCACTGTGATACAGTAAGCTGTAGGCCAGAGATTAAGCTCGAGGTGCTGGGGGAGGGTGTCGTTTGGAGGCACAGTGCCCTTCTGCCTGCCGGACAGGAAGGGAAGGAAGCACAGGCCCCCATGGAAGGGACAGGAGAGTGGAAGAGAGTGGTTGGCTCAGATGAGGCCCTCATAGGTGGGGCAGGAGAAGGCTGTCTAAGGACCACTTTCCTTTTTTCTAGGAGCGGGTTGGCCTGGATTTGGGGCTCAGGATGGACACAGCTTAGAGCCAGGGTGGGGCAGTTGAAAAAACATTCCAAGAGGAGTGGAGAGGCCTAGGCTGTGCTCTTCACTCGGCCATTGACTGTGTGACCTTGAGCAAGTCACTTAACCTCTCAGGTGGAATGTAGCCGGGATGCTTTCCAAAGCTTCCTCGAGATTCATGGTCTGTGGTTCTAAGAAGGAACACGTCAGAAGTGGGACCTGCTTCTCACTTCAGAGTGAAGGAGCTGAGGAATTAATACGGGCTTGAGAGTAATGGAGAAGAGGATCCAGACAAAAGCCGAGGTTCCTGGCCCAGGCTAGACCACTGCCCAGATCCGTTGTGTATAAACATTGCTTTTCCAGTTTCCGAAGTTTTCTTCAAAATTCCTTTCTAACATAGCCACATTAAGGGGAGAAATAGGCTCAGAGATTTAAGAATCATGCTCAAGAGGTTATTTGGGGGCAAAGCTTACTTGGGATGTGGAGAAGGGTGCCTAGGAGCAGAGCCCAGAGCCTGGGAAGGCAGGGCAGGCTGAGACCTGGGGGTGGGGGTGGAATGTGTGTGTGGTGGTGACACCTGGGCCATGGAATGAAATGGAAGAAATAGCCAAAAGCTGGACATTGAGGGAGCAAGCCAGGGGGTCCTGGGCATGGGTCACTGGGTCCAGGGAGAGTGAGGATGACGTCCCCGAGGTCCTCAGGCATCGGCTGATGCCCAACCTGCACCTGAGCTTCGCTCCTCTCGCTTTGTGGTGTCTGGATCGGGGAGGTTACTGTTAGAAAGTTGCCGGCAACAGGCACACTGCCAGCTTTCCGTGGAAACTCTGGGAGCTGCTCCTAGTTTGTGGCCGGGCCTTCCTTCCTCCCCCCAGTGGGTGCAGGACCTTGACGGCCAGCTGACTCCAAGACCCAAGCTTTCTGCCAACAGCAACAGGGTACTGGCTGGGCTCAGGCAGGGGGGCCTCAATGGGAAAAGCTCCTGGCTCTCCTCCCTCACGCTCAAAACTGGTGAGGGGAGTGCCAGACAGGATGCCCCTCCCTGGAGAAGCACCCCTGGGGCCCCCCGGTGTCCTCCTCATGGATATTTCTTCCACAGAAGTACAATGCCGATTATGACCTGTCAGCCCGGCAAAGGGCAGACACCCTGGCTTTCATGTCTCTCGTGGAGGAGAAGCTGCTTCCGGTGGTGGTGAGTGTGCCCAGACCTCCCAGCACTCATGGCCAGCTGGGGAGGGGTCAGGCAGCCACACCCAGGCTCCGAGCAGCACTGGGGTCAGAGATGAGCAGGTACACTGGCTCAAGACCTGCCTCTTCCTTCCTGCCTACCCAATCCAGATACATACTTTTTGGGTAGATGCCAAGAACTATGTGGAAGTGACCCGGAAGTGGTATGCAGAGGCTATGCCCTTTCCCCTCAACTTCTTCCTGCCTGGCCGCATGCAGCGGCAGTACATGGAGCGTTTGCAGCTGCTGTGTGGGGAGCACAGGCTGGAGAACGAGGAAGAGCTGGAGAAGGAGGTAGCTGTGGGCCTGGGGGCTCGCTGTCTGAGATGAGCCCCGAGGACGTGGTCAGGAATGGGAGTGCCTAGGAGGGGGTGGCCCTGTGCCTGCGGCCCTGAGCCCACCTTGTGTCCTCCCTGTAGCTGTACCGAGAAGCTCGGGAGTGCCTGACTCTGCTCTCTCAGCGCCTGGGTTCTCAGAAATTCTTCTTTGGAGATGCGTGAGTCCCGGGGGGCAGTGGGTGGCCAGGGAGGAGACACAGGTTTAGATGTAGCCACAGGGGCTGGGGTGGGCTGAGGCCAGTACCGGGCTCTGGACAAGAGATCCTCGAGACAGACATTGGTCTGGTGACAGTGGGAGTGTGTGTGAGGCCGGAGCCTGGTCGGTGGTACAGGAGGGTGGGAGGGCAGCCAGGCACAGGAGGGGCCTGCGGGGCACTCAATGTGCCCTTTATGCAGCCCTGGGATAGAGCCGCATTCAAGGCCAGGCTGGCGCCACCTGGGCAGCCCTTCCCACACCAGGTCCAGAACTGTGTGTCCTCTCCTCCCCTGGTGACCCCTGCTGCCCAGAGCCCACCTCCCAGGGCCCAGACTCTTCCTCCAGCACCATCTCTACCTCTCTGCCCATCGTCCTCCATTCTGCCCTCTCTCTTGGCTCCAGCCCCGCCTCCCTGGACGCCTTTGTCTTCAGCTACTTGGCCCTGCTGCTACAGGCCAAGCTGCCCAGCGGGAAGCTCCAGGCCCACCTCCAGGGGCAGCACAGCCTCTCTGCCTATTGCAGCCACATCCTCAGCCTCTACTTCCCCTGGGAAGGAGGTAAGGGGCAGGTCGGTGGGTGGGCGCCAGCCCTGGGGAGAGTGGGCAGGGATCCAGGAACCAGCCCCCTGCCCACTCTCCCTCTTTGCCCTCAGCCGAGGTGCCGCCCCCACGGCCCACACCAGCGGGCCCGGACGCTGACGAGGAGCCATACCGACGCCGGAACCAGATCCTGTCTGTGCTGGTGGGACTGGCCGCCATGGTGGGCTACGCCTTGCTCAGTGGCATCGTCTCCATCCAGCGGGCCACGCCTGCCCGGGCCCCAGGCACCCGGGCCCTGAGCATGGCTGAGGAGGACGAAGAGGAATAAGTTGTCCTCATCTCGCAGGACTGATTTTTCTACTGTCATGCATTCCAGAGGCTGCATGCCTCCCTGTTGTCAGCACAGCCAGAAATGGGGTGCCAGTCCCCAGAATAAACCCGCTCACTGACTGCGATCAGACGTTCTCTCCTTTAAGGGGCCGCCATTTGGCTGAGCTGGTGGCATGGGGGCACCTGGGGGCGGGGCCTCCTGAGTTCCTCTGCCCCGATGCTCATGGCACCTCTGCAGGGCCCTGGCTGCCTCTGCAGGAATGAAAAGCAGGCCTGGTTCCGGGTCCCACTTTTGTAGTTTCTTCCTTTCCTTAACCTCCAGCTGCTCCTCTGTCCTGTGTCTGTACAGACAGTGAGCTCACCCTGGGCCTGGGCCCAGTTTCCACAGACGACTAGCACAGAGCACGCGCTTACACAAGCATGGGGGGCAGGGGGCCGCTGGGGCTTCCTGATCCTTTCTCTGGGGGCCTCCAGCCCCTGGCACCAACTAGAGGGGAAAGTGAGTCACCCAAACCACTGTTTGTGGGCTTATGTCATTGTAAGCCCTCCCCGGCCCTGCTATGCCCTCTTTAATCACAGACAGCACGGGAACGGACTCTGTCCTTTTAATGCCCCTGCTGAACCCAGGCACCTGCTCGGGCAGCTGCTCCATCACTGGCGGCGCCACAGGTAGGTGTGGATGGAGTAGCCAGGTACCATTGTCTCCAGGAAGCCCACGGCAGGATCCGCAATGGTGAGAGGCGCGTCCTTAGAGGAGCTGGGGGAGGGGGAGGAGGAGCTGAGAGTGGGATCCTGTCAAGGCCCACCCTGCCCGGCCGCGGGGCTGCTCAGGCGGCTTCACCCCACCAGGCCCTGCTGCGGCACTCACCGGTTTAACACCACCACAACTGCAGAGCCATCGGGACGCACCAGTGCCACCGTGTCCAAGTCGTTCTTCGCACTGGCAACGAGCCCCACTCTCTGGGAGCCCTCCGGAATGAACTTGCTGGATGTGGGGACGGGCATCATCAGGGACCCTGGCCAACCCCCGTCACAGCCCTCCCACCCTGCCCCACGGCCCGTGTCAAACTCTGCCCTAAACCTCTGGGCCTTGAGCCACACTGCTGGGCACTGGCCTGGCCCTCCTGCAGCCCAGCCCCGGTACCAGGCATTCAGGGATTGTCCATGTCTCTGATGCCACCTAAGTCACTTCCTGCCTAGATGGTGCAAGAGGGGACAGATGTGCCCCTCCCAGGGTTCCTACCCTGAACACCTTCCTGCTGCCTGTGGGATGATGTAAGCCCGATACGGGGGATGACAGGCCCGTTGTGGAATGGGGGTATCTGCCCTCCACTCACCTGAAGTGGCCAAGGTGGTAGAACATGGGCTGTTTGTAAAACGTGTCCTTGGTGATGTCCACAATGATGGGGCTGTCGACAAAGTTGCGTACCCAGTTGGGTCCCCCTTCAGGGTTCAGGGCAAGATTCCAGTCGGTCCAGCCAACCACGTGGTAGAGAAGGTTCTAGGGTAGGGACAGGGCAGAGAGACAAAGGCTCGACCCTGGGGTTCCCAGAGAATGTAGTTACGGCTTACATGAGGGAGGTGGGCACTGTGGGTGGCTCAGCCCTGTGAGGGGGACACTCTGATATTAATATCTAAGGAGGGGGAGATGGGGAGTATGAAGATGGAGGTATCTCAAGAGAAGCTGAGAAATCAGAAGCAGATGCAACTGCCTGAGACCCAAGCACGTGGAAAAGGGTTACGGGGTGTGCAGGTCTGTGAAGGGAAGGTAAGCTAGGGAATCCTGGAGTCCCAAAGGTTGCCCCAAAGAGCAAGCTGGCTGGGGAAAGTCTGTCAGACTTCAGTGAGACTAGGCCTGTCTGAGGTGGTCTGGGATGTGGAAAGGGACTTAGGCGGCTCACCGTGATGATGCTGTGGCTGTACTGCGTCCCTCGATCCCAGGAGCCTAGCCGCACACTCTGTTCCCAGAACTTGGAGCCCACACAGGCCTCTGAGGCAAAGAGCATGGTGGTGGGGAACAGGCGGTGTGTCTCGCCCAGGGTGGCTTTTGCTGGGGCCAGATAGTCCAGGTACCAGTGCACAGCAATGCCGTGAACGTACTTAGCTGCCTCTGGGTCTGCCAGCACCTGTGCCAGGAAGGGAAAGGACGACTGGGGAAGCAGAGCCACTGACCCGGACCCCAGGTAGAGGGTCCTGGAAGAGGAACTAGGGGGTCTGAGCAATGGATGCTGGGATGAAAGCAGCTAGAGGGGGTTATAGTGACAACCATGGGGGTGGCCCTGGAGATCTAGAGGGGGTGGTGGCCTGGGCACTGGACACAGTTTGGGGTGCTCTGGGGATCACGAGTTGGCAGGAAGCCCCTCCAAGCCTGGGGAGCCTGTCATTTGGAGGCTGGATTGGTGTCACTAAGGCACTCATGGGAGGCCCTGGGCCTTACCACCTGGGCCCAGCCGGGCAGCAGCAGGCGTTGGTCATCCAGAATGAGCAGATGGACATCGCGGTGAGTACTGTTGGCGAGGATGGGACCCAAGTCACGGGCGATGAAGTCTCGCTGGTGTTCAGGAGTGAAGCCCAGGCACTGGAAGGGGTACCCGCTCAGCAGCCCTGCAGTAGGCTCGTTCTCGGCTGTCACGGCCCAGAACCGTAATTTATGCTCAGCATAGGCATCCAGGAATCTGGCGGTAGGAAAGGGTGTGAGTAAGCCCAGCCAAGAAAGGGGACCAAGACCCTGCGGAATGGGAGGCCTGATGGGTGGGGAAAACTAAGAAACCCAAAACTAAGGGGCCTGAATGTGAAAGGCCCAGAGAGTTGAAAAATGAGCTGGAGGTGGAATCAGGTCGAGGGTTGGGATATAGACCCAGGGTATCCAAGAAGGGGACTGACCCAGACCCCATGGCTTTGCTGCTCCCTTACTTGACAAAGTATCTGGCCCAGGTCTGGTGGTAGATATCCCCTGGCTGACCCTTGAGTGATCCCTTCCCATTCACTGCCTCATTGGTCTTGAGCCAAGTGGGTGATGTCCAGGGACTGGCGAAGAGTGAGATGGGGCGTTGGGTCATTTCCAGGGCTCGGTGAATCAGGGGTATCTAGAGACAAAGATAGTGAGGAGAGAGACACCCAGAGCTGGAACACAGACAGACTGGCCCAACCAGTGCATCAGGCCCAGCCAACAGTCCCCATCCTCCCACCCCTAGGACAAAACAGACCGCAGGGGCAGGTTCTCCATCTCTCTGCAGACTGTCTTAGCCTGAGGCTTCTCAACCCCCAGGCATCAATGCCACCAGGACCTACGGCAGCCAAAGCGCCCACCTTGAGCTTGGTATCTTCCTCTGGGAGGCTGAAGTTGTGCAACTGGAAATCGTTAGTGATGTCGGCGTAGGTGTAGGTGCGGATGGAAAAGTCGCAGCTGGCCATGGGTACCCGGATGATGTTGTATTCAATACCTGCAGAAAAGCATGACCAAGATACGGGAATCTGAGTCCATCGGAAAATATGGGTACCTGGCTTACTACCTGTTGGTCCTAAATAACGTCTGGGCAGAGCCAAAGGGGACTTGGGCTCCTGGGTTGGGGACGGTGGAGCCAGGTACCTGGTGAGGCACAGGCCTTTGAGCCTGAAAGTCCTCAAGCACTTAGCATAAGATGGGTAGGTAGCTCTGGGCAACAAGACCCAAAAGTCAGGGATGGGTGGAAGTCAGAGTCAAAGGAAAGTGTCAGCTGCACTATGTCATCTTGTCCCCCTCCTCTTCACCTTCTTCAGAGAAGTACGATTTGAGTAGCAAATTCTGCACAGCAGGTGACAGGGCAAGGATGTTGAGAGCAGCAGCATCTGTCATGGCTCCTCCAAATCCCTTCACTTTCTGGAACTTCTGTTCTGGCTGCAAGGTCAGTAGCAGCCCTGAGGACATCGGCAGGGAATAAAGAGTGAGAGAAACTCCATGGTGATCACTGCCATGATTTCGCTCCAGGAAGATCTCAGCCTGGCTCAGGGGTGAGGGGCATAGTGGTTACCTGTGCCTGTGCGGCTGGTCTGCACGGTCCCTGTACTCAGCTCCATCCGACGTCCACTCCTTGTGCTCTCATATAGGCTGAAGTTGCCAAGGGCAGGAAGGGTCAGGGGGTCAAGGGAGTCACAGTACGTGGCATTGCAGACACAGACCACTGAGCTGTAGCCAAAGCTTTGAGGGATGCAGGGACGAGCACCTGGGAGGGAGGGAACATAAGCAGAGGTAAGGACTGAAGGATGGAGGACAGGGAGGATGGGCACACTGCTTGGAAAGAGACACTGAGCACAGCTTTCAAAAATCCTCTCCCTGTACCCTACGCCAAGGTTGGTCTCTATCATTCAAAAGGATTGATTGAGCACCTACAGAAGTCCACCATGAGTACAGTGTACCAGAAGGTTACCCAAAGACTACAAGGCAAAAGGGAGCCTTAGTGCTACCTCTCTCCTCCTTGATACACTTACCTGATGCCCACGACACTGCCTGAAGTAGAAGCAATACCGTGAGGCTGGCAGCCATGGTGTCGATCCTGCTCAGGTGCTTGGGACCTTCCTGAGAACAGAATGAGGAGTGGCTAAAGGCAAGCCCCTCTCCACTCCTCAACTACTTTCCTGGGCTTAGCTGCCTATTGGCGCCCACAGCCTGGCCTCCCACCTTTACTAGGGATGGGACAAGGCCCACAGGCACCCGAGTGCAGCCCTCCCTCCAACCCCTGCCTCACCTCTGCTGGTGACAGCTCTCTGCCCACCCCAACCAGGACCCTCCTGCACCTCCTCTTCGCTTTCATTTCTCCCTCTACTTGTCTGTCCCTCCATCTGCCCCTGGCTCCAAAGGACAGGATGGCCTGAGTTTGAAGAGAATCTGCCTCATTGAATTCCAGAGCCTGGGTGGCTAGGATTCCAGAAGCAGCGTGATGAAGCTGATTGGGATGCCGGATCCGCCCACGTCTCTGTGACTTGAAAGATCCCTCTCTTCAGGCTCCGGATGAGAAGGCTGCAGGAGCTCCGGAGTCTCGGAGGCATAGAGGATTCACTCAAAATAAAACAGGGATGCAGGTACCTGCGGTAACTATAGGCACCGGGGTTAGCCCAGCAAGTCGATTCCGGCTTCATGGAGTGGGTGGGTCATGTGATGACTACGGGAGAGTCACGTGATAGACGAAGTGAGGCACTTGCAGCCATGTTTGTAAAGGGCAGTTTACTTCCTCCTGGTTGATGGAGATTATAACTGGTTGCTGCCAAGTCAATTCTGACTCATGGTGACCCTGTATATGTCACAGTATTAACGTGCTCCATACGGTTTCCAATGGCTGATTTTTCGGAAGTAGATCACCAGGCCTTTCTTCCCAGGTGTCTCTGGGTGGACTCAAACCTCCAACCTTTTGGTTTGTAGTTGAGCACGTTAATCCTTTGTACCACCCAGGGATTCTGATGGCGATTATACACCCTAGGAAACTCTGTAAGACGTGTGCATGACAACTTCAGGACACACTAGGACAAAGATCTCAGTGGGGAACAGGTAGAGGCTCCCGAATCCCAGAGGATGGGGAACACAGCAGGCACAATGACTTTTTGAGAAAAAAATCTAAAGGGTGATACTAATAAAAGCGTTTGCTGTGCAAAATACTGAGGCCACAGAAATGCTTAATACAGCTTTGCCATATGGAGGTCCATGAGGGGAGTCAGATATTTACACAGATAATCACAGATAAAGCCAAAAACGGTAACAGGTGTGCATGCGGCGCTCTCTGAGGCAAGGAGGAACCCTTCATAGGTGGGGAGTTATCCAGGAAGTCTTCACAGATGACATCCCTTGAGGGAAGGTCGTGCGGAAGATTATTAACCAACCAAGTACAAGAGAAAGGGATCTGGACCATGGGGCAGCGTCTTAGTGATCTAGTGCTGCTGTGACTGAAACACCACAAGGGGGTGGCTTTAATGAACAGAAATTTACTTTCTCACTGTTTAGGAGGCTAGAAGTCCTAATTCAGGGCACTGGCTCTAGGGGAAGTCTTTTTCTCTCTGTCGGTTCTGGGGGAAGGTCCTTGTCTCTTTTCAGCTTCTGTTCCTTGATTCTCTAGGATCTTCATATCTTCCCCCATCTCTGTTCACTTCTCTGTGTCTAATCTGCTCTTTTTATATCTCAAAGGTGACCGGCTTAAAATTTACCCATACCGATACTGCCTCATTAACACAGCAAAGAAAACCCATTCCCGCACGGGATTATAACCACAGGTATAGCATCTGGGATTTACAACACATATTTTGAGGGGGCACAATTCAATGTTTCATCATCAGATGCAGATTGTAACAACCATTTTTTCCTTTCTCACAGGACAGGGAGGCTGTGTAAAGTAGTTCAGAAACTGCAAAGTGTTATACAAAGCTATATCCTGACTTAATGGTCTGACTGAGACTAGAGGCACCCCAGAAAGCATGGCTCCTAGACTCTTTGTCAACCCAGAACTAAAACCATTCCCGGCCAACTTTTCAGACAAAGATTAGAGTGGACTATGGGACATAAAATGATACTCGTGAAGAGTGTGCTTCTTAGCTCAAGTAGATCCATGAGCCTAAATGGGCAGCTCCTGTCCGGAGGTGAGATGAGAAGGCAGAGAGGGTCAGGAGCTGGGTGAATGGACACGGGAAATCAGGGGTGGAAAGGAGGAGTGTGCTGTCACAGTATAGAGAGAGCAATTAGGGTCACGTAACAATGTATGTATAAATTTTTGTATGAGAGACTAACTTGAATTGTAAGCTTTCACTTAAAGTAAGACAATAAAATAAAAATAAATTAACAAAAACAAAGTTATATCTTCAGTGGTTCTGAGAAGGGAGTTGTCCACGATGTTGTCTCATGCGCCGCCACATTAACATGATTTAGTGGGAGTGACACACACAGTTATGATCTGACTAACTGAACCTATTTCCTCACTTGTAAAATGAGGAAATACCACAGCTTCACAGGGTCATGACTGCAATCAGTGTGATAAGCTCAGTGCCTGGCACGTAGACGTGCTCGGCAACTACGTGTTTGTTGTTCCATGTGGTTCTTTAAAATCATCTCAGCGAAGTCCTTCCAGACATACCTCAGCCAGAATTGATCATTCCTTCTTCGAGGTTCCCACATTACTTAAGTACTGGCCCAGGGAGATGAGCTGGGTTTGAATCTCTGACCCCACCATTCTTCTGACTATTTGACCTTCAGTAAATTACTTAATCATTCTAAGCCTCTGTTTCTCATCTACAAACGAGGAGTGGTAACTCCTACTTTATAGAGTTGTTGTGACATTTCAGTGTGATAATGTGTGGCTAGTACACTGCTCTGGGTCCCCGGGTGGCACAGTTAAGTGTTTGACTAAAAAAAAAAAAAAAAAAAAAAAAAAAACCAAACCTGTTGCTCTCGAGTCAATTCCGACTCATAGCGACCCTGTAGGACAGAGTAGAACTGTCCCACAGAGTTTCCAAGGGATGCCTGGTGGATTCAAACTGATGACCTTTTGGTTAGCAGCCGTAGCTCTTAACCACTGCGCCACCAGGGTTTCTCAAGTGTTTGACTAGTAACCAAAAAAGAGCCCTGGTAACTGAAACGTTAGCAGTTTGAACCCACCCAGCAGCTATGAGGGACAAAGGCGTGGCAATCTGCTTCTGTAAAGATCACAGCCAAGAAATCCCTATGGGGCAGTTCTACTCTGTCACATGGGGCCGTTATAAGTTGAAATCAGCTTCGCAACACCCAACAACTAGCCAAAAGGTTGGTGGTTCAAACCCACCCAGAGGTGTCTTGGAAAACAGCCTGGCGATCGGCTACTGAAAGGTCACAGCCATGAATACCCTATGGAGCAGCTCTACTCTGCCCACATGGGGTTGCCATGAGTTGGAATCGACTTGAAGTCAACCACCACCACCACCAATAGTACACTGCTTAGCACCAAATATTGCAACAGGTTAGGTCTGTGTTTATGGAAGACACTCGGAGTTCCTTGAGGATGTCTTAGTCATTGTAGGTAGCCTCATATCCTTGTGGAGGGCCTGGCTCAGGGTGGGGAGGCACTAAATTGCTGAACAAAACTAAACTATTAGGATCACCATGTCGGTATCTGTCCCATGCGGACTTCCTGTTTTTCCAGGAAACATTGCTCAGGAATTGTTCTTCAAGGAAGCCTGGTACTAGCTAGCACCTCGCTTCCTTCTATTTCATTAATTCTGCAAGTATTTATGAAGCAGCTGTTACAAATGCCTCTGCCTGCCCTATTGGGTTAGGGGCCCTCAGGCCCCCCGCCACTTTCCTTCTATAGACACAGAGGCTTTTTTTTTTTTTTAATTGTTGTACTTTAAGTGAAAATTTACAATTCAAGTTAGTCTCTCATACAAAAATTTATACATACATTGTTATGTGACCCCAATTGCTCTTCCTGTACTGTGACAGCACACTCCTCCTTTCCACCCCTGATTTCCCGTGTCCATTCACCCAGCTCCTGACCCTCTCTGCCTTCTCTTCTCGCCTCCGGACAGAAGCTGCCCATTTAGTCTCACGTATCTACTTGAGCTAAGAAGCACACTCTTCACGAGTATCATTGTATGTCCCACAGTCCAGTCTAATCTTTGTCTGAAGAGTTGGCCTCGGGAATGGTTTTAGTGCTGGGTTGACAGAGAGTCTGGGGGCCATGTTTTCTGGGGTACCTCCAGTCTCAGTCAGACCATTAAGTCTGGTCTTTTTAATAGAATCTGAGTTCTGCACCCCGCCTTTCTCCTGCTCCATCAGGGACTCTCTGTTGTGTTCCCTGTCAGGGCGGTGTAGACACAGAGTTTTTAAGAGTCTTTTGTGTCTTTTTTTTCTCCTCCAGTTCGTAAATTTTTTTTAAGGCAGATACCATCTCATCTTTCAAATTTCTCTCACAACGTGATGTGCCCTTGAGGCTTTTATATTCTATTTTCTAAATAAAGTTAATAAAACTGAGGGCCAGTATTTAGAAGCTGCTTACTCTGTGGTATCTTGTGTGCGCTGGCCCATTTCTTTGTTACAAACCCGTTGCCCATCAAATCAATCCCAACTCATAGGGACCCTGTAGGACAGAGTAGAACTGCCCCATAGGGTTTCCACGGCTTTCCTTACAGAAGCAGACTGCCATATCTCTCTCCATGGAGCGGCTGGTGAGTTCAAACAGCTGACCTTTCAGTTGGCAGCCAAGCGCTTAACCATTGCGCCACCGTGGCTCCTTTCATTATCACAAGGTACAGATTCTTACCCCTCCCCGCCCCTCCCACACCCCCATTTTAGAGATAAAGAACCCAGGACTCTGAGAGGTCATTAAATTTTCCAGAGTCCTCTGGCTGCTCATATCCAGAGTCCTGTGACCCACATCAAATATTGATAAAGTGAGTCTGGTGTGCCAAGTGCTAGGCTTTGCTGTTACTATTGTGTGCCATCGGGTCTCAGCGCTGGTTATTTTCAAAATTTGCTTTGTATTGTTTTAAAAACATCCCTTGCTTTTTCTGTAGTGTTCTGTCTGCCAAATAGAACTTAACTTCTGAAATGCTGACTATGTAGTAACATTTCTGGATCCCTGTTAGTCAGAGGCACAGGTCAGGGTCAATGGATACTGCTTCAGTAATGGAACAAAATCCAGAACTCCCAGTTGGGGAAATATGATTTTCAGTTGGGGAGGTGCTGCTGGACCAGATAGCTCTGCCTTTGCCCTGAGCTTCAGTCCCCCTCTTCCTGGGAAATCTCAGCTAAGCACCCCCTTTTCATAACAAATATATTTTTTTATTGTTGTAAAAAAAATATAACGCAACATTTGCCAATTCAGCAGTTTTCAGGTGGACAATGTAGTGGTATCAATTAATGAAACATGTTGTGCAACCATTATCCATAATTGCTGCCAGAGTTTCCACCACCATCCACGGAAACTCATTGCTTCATAAGCAATGACTCCCTCCTTCTCCCTCCCTTCTGTCCCTATACATTTGCCGATACTTGTTATTTCATGTAAGTGAGATCATACAATCTGTGTCCTTTTGTGACTGACTTATTTCATTCAGCATAATGTTTTCAAGGTTCACCCATGTTGTAGCATGAATCAGAACTTTATTTCTCTTTAAGGCT